ACAACAGCAACAACAGCAACAACAACAACCGCAGCAAAGTGCTCCCAACATGCACCATAGCCAACCAGATCATCGGAGTCAGCAGTCATCCCAGGTAGAAATCATTTCCATGTCTTTATAATTTCCTGGAGTGCCAGATTTCTGAATATCCTTAGTTATTCCAGCAGTTGTACCATTTGGAGATGGATATGCGGGGTATGCAACAACGGCTACAACATTTGTATCAGCAACAGCGAACTCCGATGATAGAACAAGAAATTCAACAGGTTTCTTTTTCTTGGTTTTGAATTCCGAGATGTTTTAGGGGCCTCGTTAACGAAAATGTGGGAATTTTATATTAATAGGTAAACTATGGGGCAAAGGTGGTTGGGGGGGGGGGGGACAGGGATGGGTGCGCAGCTCTGCGTTGTGCCACGTCATGTCAGTACTGCCAGGTCTTTCTGGAGCCATAGAATCTGCACGTACGCCATTTTCCTACTTGTTGAAAGGGCACAGACAGAACGTCACAGAGATGTGACGTTGCGACCTTTTCCCACTAATTATCAGCAAAGTTTTGCTTCACTATACTGAATGGTAAATGTTAAGCCGTTGCACAGTTGCGTGTAAGGCCTCGTTTATTTTCGCAATTCGATATAACTCGCGATTGGGAGAGTGTCGGTAAGGAATGGAGACCTGTACATACATATTTGGAGTTTGCGACTCGAGAAAAGGGCTTTAGGGACACCAAGCGATCCTCATCAAACGTTTTGTTATCGAATTATTCTCCTGTGCCGCACCTTCTCCAGATCACTAGGCATACTTTCCATCCGAATTTTCAGCGCTCGCAGATCATGAATCCGGCCTTAGGGAGTTGAAACTTTCCTCATACGTGATTCACTGCGGCGCATTCGGCTTTGTGGGAGCACCCAATGGTACATAGCGAAGCCATTCAGGCTACCTCAAGACCTGTAAAGTCATGTAACCAAAGTGGCTCACTTATAGCATTTCGTAGCTTCACGGAAGCTTTACAGGTCCCACCGAAGTAACCTCTTATTTGACATAAGGCCAACAGGAATTAACGAAGGCGCAAAACTCCCGTTCCGAGCCAGATAGCGTTTTGGTGCTTTTTTTGAGTAGTCGCTGAAGCTATAAGGCTTTCATAATAGTTACAGGGTTTCAAGCTTTGGTTCAATCAGAAGTCATACCTTTTCTTTTCGAGCGTTCTGCTCATACTTTTCTCTTTTTACTGTCATTGCACAGTGCGCTCATTTCATAGCGGTTTTCGGCATTAATGACCTTGTGGACATCTGTACTTGCAAAGGGACTAACGTCGCCCAGATAGAGGTGTGTTAATGGTTCGCCAGCCCCGGATTTCTTTTCACTTCAGGCGTAGGCAAAACTACTTGCTCCACTGCGTGGGATACGAGTCTTCCAGCTATGGTTTAAGCTGCCCCAAATGGCAATATCGCAATCGCAATCATATTTGAAGCAAGGATGTCCTCACCTCCCACGAGAAATGGATTGTGACTTTTGGATGTTTTTCCTTCAAATGCACCTCCTTGCTGTTTTCACCAGCTTCCGACTGTCCTTCAAAAACAGTGGGCACGACAGTCTTGGGAGGGCGGTCATCACCACCATCATTGGTGGAAGGGTGTGGAAGTGCCCTCTGGCAGTCCTTCCATGACGTTGGCAACAACCGCCCGCTTCCAACATTCATGCCCACCGCCCACTGCCTCTAGATTGAAATCACGCTATCATCCCTAGAATGGTTGAATTTCAGATACAAATGCGACTGCAGTATTTGCAAGCAGAACATCACCGACTGCAACAAATGACTGCCCAGAGCGCGCAGCCCATACCTGCTTCTCAGCAACAGCAACAACAGCCGTCGCAACAACAACAGCAACCACATGCTGGCCAACCACCACCAGGAATGGCATCGATGCCGAATCCAAATCAAGCCATGCCTATGAGTCAACAAGTGTGTACTTGTAGCATCACATATTTGTTTGTTAATTTTTGTAGCAAAATGGATACGTGAATTGTCCGCATTTTTAGATGCCAACACCTGGAATGGGCCCACCAAGTGGACCAAGTACAGGACCTCCCAGTCAACAAGTAGTAATTCAACAGAGTCCGTCA